ACAAGATGCCATAAGCTGGTGGAATAAAGCAGGTCTGCACAACAGTTCGAACACTTAACTTTAGTTCACTTTTCGAAAATATCATAAATTTCGTCGACTTTTTCCTTTGTAGTTTTTTGACGGTCATCCAAAACATTCTCCATCTTTCACTTTATCAGTCTCACGAAACCATTGAAATGTAAGTTTAATGCAATGTTAACTCTGTGTGTTTTTGTAAAACTCAACTTGTAGTTTTCGTATCACAATCATAAGTGACTTCAACTTGGGCATTGATAAAGCTATTGTTATTCTCTCATGTATATCGAAATAGACATTTATTGAATAATGTACGGAACAAAATTTACACACTATTAAATCGCGTGAATAGTATAAGAGAAATTTACGTTAATCTTCCCGACAAATTTTTGGAACATCCTGTGCTATTAAATCAACATTTCAAAACCATTCGATCTAACTCAGATAATGAAATAGTCATATATAAATTTAGTTAAACTAATTTCAAACACTTATCAAAATATGAAGAAAAAAAAAAGAAATTTTTACCAAACTTTGTAGAATAATTGGTAATTGTTGAAGAATTTGTGTTAATGATATCCATGATTGATTTAATTCATCTAAATTAAGATTAAATGTAATCCAAAGTGCATCTTTAAACATATCAATAGTAAATTGTCCTGGTGAATTAAGTCTTCGTTCAATATCATCAATTGTTGTTGATTCATCATTGATATATTTTTCATTATAATCCATTGGTAATTCAATAAATTGTTCATGATTATTTGTTTTTAATTCATATTGTATTAATAAAAGTATTGAACGATTTTGATTTGTTAATAAATGTAAAATAAGTCTATCATTTGTACATGTTATTGATGTTAATGATGAACCATGTGGTAAATGTGAATGATCAATTGATTGAATACTTTTTGTATAAGATTTATTTTGATATAGAGAATATTTAAAATTATTTCTTTCATCATATTGAAATTCATAAATAAGTATATGAAGAATATCATTTGAATCAATAATTACAAATAAACGTGTTACAAGTTCATCAGAAAATGTTTCATATTGACAATAATCTAAAAACATTTTTGTTTGAACTTTTGATGATAAACGAGGAAGATCAACTGATAAATTATATTCATATAAAATTGTATCTAACTGAAAAAAAAAGAGAATAAATTATATTATTTTTTAAGATTTACTATTGAATTTAATGAATTAATCTCAAACTTTGAGCATGCGTTATTTACATGCCAAGTAAAATACTATTCTAGTTCATATAATGAAATTCAAGTTTATACTAATGAGAACATACTTGGAATCGAAGTGGTCGAATGACAATCTGGGATCATGCTGAATGAATTCAATATGCTCACAAAAAGTTAATCAAGTATTAGAAGTCAATTTCGATGTAAACTGAAGACTTTTCATCTCAAGATTTTGAGCTCATTTATAAACGACTCATATAAAATCCTAATGGTTAGGAGTTTTCAGTTCATTTCAAATTATCAGACAAGATATTGTTCTGTTGTCAAGATCTTACCAACTATTAAAATCATGTAAATGTCAAAATATTTAGATATCTTCAAATAGAAAATCTAATATAAAAATCATACGTTTAAGTTCACTTTATCTTTTTTGTCGGCTATAGTATCCTTTTATAGATTGAGATGCCTTTTATTTGTGTTAAAAATAATTATTTCAAATAAGAATAGATCAATATTCCCAGTTGTATAGGAAATCATATCATCATTGAAAAAAGTTAGTCAAAGCATAGTACAAATGTTAGTAGCTGTCAATTACTAAACGAAACGTGATTGACTACAATAGGGATTGTTATTATAGGAAACTGTAGGAGTTATATGAATTTTACATTGTATGTCTTCGTAGAACTGAAATAACAGACTGTTTCAAGAAAAAACAAATGATCTATTAATTCAATATATATCAAGTACACCAGAGTCTTGCCAGTTAGGACGATTCCGGTTCGATTATTGTCCTATGAGCATAGGATTGTTGAGAATATATATGATTGAATTTCGAGCAGAAAATTTATTCATAAATAGGCACTAGAAACACTTGTTTTGACTTGAATTTTTCAAAGCAAGTACGTATCTATAAGTTGATGTCTTGATATGAATATCTCTATACGTGATATTGTCAGCGATTCGGTACTCATAGGACAAATATTGAATATAACGTCCATCAATGGACAAGCAAGGATCAGAAAACTAAAACATAAGTAGAATTTTTTCTATTGATCATGATTGATCGAATTATAATAATCGTCTCATGCACAAAGTGATTTAACAGTGGGAAATATTCCCTTATAGATTTTAATATAGCATTGTTACAACGCAAAAGTCTTTAGAATAATTCAAGTTTTCTAATAAACAAAACTTCTTACTTGATCAGACAAAAATCGAAGTAGACTATTATCATACAGTATGATTGTCATTGTCATGGTACTATAAATAATTGTCGTTTGACCGGCAATCAATGGTTGATTTTGTTGATTAGATGATAATGATTTACTTGAATAAAAAAAATTTTAAAAAGTCAATTAGTTATTTGAGATTTGTTTTATTTCTTAAGTTCTCGTCCCTCAAAAATCGATCTTAACTCATGTACATTCAAATCACATGAAACTTTCAATTCTATATCTTTCAAACAAGAAAAAATTAGTTGACTACAATGAAATTCCATCAAGAGTTCTACAATACGTGGTTAGAAAAACAATTTGTGAAGAACTGTTTATGAAAGACAAGACTTGGAGGGGATTTTCCATACATTTTTTTTTCGATTTCAATCTTTCGGACGAAAATTGACTTTTTTCTTTTTTGAGGACGACGAGTCTTAATAACTTACTTTGGATTCCAAAGAAAATTAAATAAACCAGTTGATTGTCGTTTTGGAAAAGATAATTGTTGTGGTGAATCTTTATATTAATTTAAAAGAGAAAAAAAGGTAAAATATCTTTTTTTTTATGTTTTAATTTATAAATAACATACTTAAATAATCTTGATTATCAAAACGAAGAATAATTGTTTCCATTTCATTAAATAAAGCATAAATAAGATGATCATTTGTATAAGCACACGTAACTTGTGTATAGGATTGTAAATCGTGTCGATAAAAATGATTTCGATTATTTAAATAATCATCTGTTATATTCGCAAGTATTGATTGAGATTGTTCCTTATAAAATAAAAATAAAAAATGAATAACTTTTCTTTTTCTTCTATTAAGAGAACTTTATATAATATCAGAAATAGCAGCAGTCTACATATTGAAATTAAGATTTCTATACAAAACAAAAGTGATAGATACATAACAGTTGCACCATACTTATTCTTCAATATCAGTTCTTAGAAATTCATTAACAATGGTATAATATATACATATATATTAAATTTAACTGAAGATTGAAGTCTTACTTTTCTCTCTTACATATATCTCTTTGAATATTACATATGCGTAAAGTCTTTTCAATAAATTTTCGTCGTTGATTACAACGAAGTTAAAAGTCATTGACTTTATTAATGGTACTGTCCTTTCAATCATGAATTAACAACTACTTGAATATAAAATGTGAAAATTTTTAAAGTTGTGTTCAAGTTCAAAAAACGAAAGAGGCAACATTCATTTTGAACAAAACAAAATAATCTATACAAAATTTCATAACAATTAAAAAAACCTTACAATAGATGTCAACGAAAAGTGAGAAGTACTCTTCTTTATAGTCTACTTGACATTTTCCCAATTGAAACTACTCAAAACCGATTAGGAAGCAATACAAGAAAAATAATTAGTTGAAATAAATGTTTCAGTGATCAATATATTTTTTTAGAAATGAAACCGATCTGAACAAGTCAGATTAATCGATCTGAAATCTATACTGATATTGGATTGTCGAATTATCGTACTATTCCATGTGTACTCTTGAGAGATTTATAATAAAAATTTCTTACTAATTGTTCACTATTGGATATAGTTGGATGTTTTAAAATCCAACGATAAATACCAATATGTGTTGCAAACATAAGACAAATTTCTTGTCGATCAGGTAATTCAACAATAAAAACATTTGGTAAAACAGTTGTTGGCATACCAAATTGAATTTGAAGAGCATTATGTAAAAGATTATGTGACATTGAATATTCAAATAATTGAAAAGAATTATTTTCTATTGTACGCCTAAATAAATCGATAATTATTATTTAATAATACTAATTAATTAATAATACCAAAATAATATTCGATCGAATGAACGATCAGCTGGCATCCAAGCACCACCATGCTGTTGAATATTAGCTGTGTCTCGTGTATCTGAATATTATTTTTTATTTTAAATAAATATTCGAAATTTTGTTTTTTGTTTTTTTACTACCTGTTTGTTTATTGCCAATAGTTCGCCAAATAATAAGATCATCGAGAAGAGTCGCAACATGATTTGTTATAGGAATATTTAATGAATCGGTTGTCATCATTTTCGTTTTTTTGAATTCTATTGTGAATAAAAGTTTTTATTTTTTTGGTGGTTAAGTTTTATTATCGATTAAAAATTTTAGCCAATCATATTTGATATGTTTGCCTCTTTAATAAAAAAATTATCTTGGAAAAAAATCTATATAGAATCATTGAAATTTTTTTAAAACAAAATTTTTTCTTTTTTTTTTTTATTTAATTTTAAATATAATTATAAGAAGAATTTTCTAAACATAAAAATCAGGGTAAAGAACATTCTGGTAAATAAACAAATAGAAGTACAACATTATGGATGGATAATTCAGATCGGATATATACATGAGTCAGGAAAATTGTCTTCTTCTTATATAACCATTCATATTCTGTTTTTCACACTTACATTATTATTTTTAATTTTTTTTCTCATGTGATTCGTACAGACAAATTTGTATATATAAATAATCAATACTTTCTTATGAATTTTATAGATTTTTCTTTATTTATAATTCAATTCATATAAAATAAATATGCCTCGTCGATCTGGTGGTGGAATGCGTTCATCGTCTCCTTCTCGGTATACATATATTTAATTATTTTTATTATTTATTAAAATTTATTCTTTTTAGAGCTCCTCCTCCACCTCCACCTCGTGCTATTGCACGTCCACCTCCAGCTGCACCAGCTCCAATGATGGCTCCACAAGGTCGTCAACCTGGTTTATTTGGACAAATGGCTGCTACAGCTGGTGGTGTTGCCATCGGTTCAGCCGTTGGACACACCCTCGGTGCTGCAATTACTGGTAAATAAATTTAAAAAAAAAAGAAAACTTTCAATTTTACTGTTTTCTTTATGATTTATTAGGTGGATCTCGTGGTAATGATCAACCAGTTGCTACACAAGAAACAGCCGGTCCAAATGCTCAAACATTATATCAAACACCAAATGAACGATATACTGTTGAACGATGTAATTTATATCAAAAAGAATTTATGAAATGTCTTGACCAAGCTAATGGCGATTCATCACAATGTCAAGGCTTTTGGGAAGCATTAAAAGTAAGGAAGAAAAGAATTTTTATTTTTGATAATATTATAAACTATGTTTCTTTATTCTTCTTGTAAAGGAATGTCAACGTTTTCAAGGCGCCAATGGTTTGTGATTGAATTCGATTAATTTTTCTATTAATTATTCATTTCCTTTTTGTTTTTTTTCTTATTTTCAGCAACACTCTAAACATCAACAAAATAGAATATGTGAAGCAGCTGTCATTGTCCTTCCCTACATTATTATTCTATTTCCAACGTTGCATTCGATTGTTTTTTCGGTCGAAATGATTTTGTAACTTTTTTTTTCCTTATTAGTCCAATAAAATTTAAAAAACGAAACTTGAAAATCTAATCTCGAAATAATTTGTTGTTCTTAGCTAAAATAAATGCAATTTAATTCTTTTTGAATAATCGTACATATGTTGCATCATCTGATTTTTCATTGGATAAGAAAACGTTTTATTTATATTAAAATGTTAGATCTGTGGAATTGTAAAGGTTATTTATTGCTTTATTTTTTATTTCATGAATATGTTTTCCTTCTTTCATCCTGTTGTATAGATTCTTTTCAAATGTTCCTTTTTCTTTATGTTACAGTGTAGTGACATCATGATATCTTTCTGGTCTTTCGAGCATATTCGAGAAGATTCTCATTTCTCTATTGGTATATCCGCTTCGCATTAACGAAGTAATGTTATTCTTGAGTTTGTTATGCACTCAGTTAGCTTAGAGTTAGATGTGTAAGTCGATGAATTGGTCAGTAACTGAGATATGGCAATGTTTTCTTCCCAATAATTTTCTTAATATCTTGAAATTTTGAAATAAAAACAAGAGGAAATTTTCTAACAATAGATTGTCAAAGTCGAAAACTTTCAAGAATCTAGTATCTATTTTGTTTTTCATGTCGCGACGACAATTACTTCTCCTATCAGCCTACATCTCCATTCAAGATATGTTATCACAGTTAAATTGCTTAGTATTCTTGTCGAAGTCTTTTTATGAATGAACCTTCGACGGTACAAGTTAGTCGATACATCGAATGTTTTACTTGCAAATTAGTATTCTGTTTAAAAAATGAGCGAAGTTGTTTAATCATTTTGAGTCAAATATAGTAAATTGATTGAAGAGTTTCTTGTCAATTGAAAAAGGAATTCGTCCTGAAACGATTAAAGAAGTGTCTTTTTGTTTAGTTAGTTTTCAATCTTTTCGATTTCATTTATGTATCAAAACAAATAAGTCATGTTAATCTATTATATTGAAAATTATATACATAGATTAGTAGCTATTAAAACATGGTGAACTTATTCTATTTCTAGGTTATAAATAGTTGCAGTCTAATGGTTCACATCTAACATAGGTCAAACAAGCCTATTATAATATCTTTTATGATTCATACATGATAGTATAGAGTTTCTAAGAGGCAGAGATGTCCAGAAATCCTTCGAAAAACTGTTCCGTCACTATGCTAAATTATCACGGTCAGATTGAATTCATCAGATTTATCACGACTCTGATTGTTGGACTTGTTGCGGCTCAATCGGATGCAAATTCATAGAATTTTACAATCTATCAAAAGAAAAATCTCCTCCCATCGCAACGTCATGTATCAGATTTTCGGCTTCTATCATCTTGTTTTCTTAAGAAAGTCTTTTAGCTTTACTTGTATAGGTATATTTATGTATAAAAATTATAAAAACTAAATGAAAACACGAATAAGCCCTTAAAAAAGTATGAACATTTTTTTTTTATTGAATTTGCTCATTAAAATGATCTGGAATACACAATTGAAACAAAAGAAAACCGCTTTCTATCTAATCAAATTCATTAAATTAGTTGTGGAATCATTTTTAGCAGATCAACATCATTACATAGAACAGATATTTTCAATGTTAAAAGGATAGTGTCTAAATTAGAACTTATTTAAATGCACAAAACTAATTATATAAGAGATATCTAAAATTAAGATCTTACGAGATTCCGATCATCATATTTTTCAAAAATCTTATAATAAGAATCAACTAAGAGTTACAGTAGCATCCTATGTAATCAGATAAATATTAAATCTTACAATAAGATGCTTTTAGAATTTGATGACATGCGATTATCAGTAAGATTGTAGTTATGATAATGAAGTTTACTTCCATCTTTGTTCTGAATTTTTTACATATATTTTGAAGATATACGAAAAGACCTAAAATTAAAAAACTTAGTTTCAGTTGTATTTATAGACGCATTCGTCATATAGTTTCTAATTATAAATCCAAGCGCCAGATAAACTATCGTTTATATGTTTTCTATGGATGATTTAAATTGTTGTCTTTCGAAAATTGTTCATTTATGTATTGAAGCATGTATATTTTTAAATCAATTATATAAATTTGAATATCAACTTTCAAAATTATCTTCATCATATCATAAACCATCAATAAAATATTTCTCTATTATTGATCATTTAACTATTGTAAATAAAGATTTAAATATTTATTATAAAAATTATTTTTTTAAAATTTATTCAAATATTTTTAATTATCTTTCACGTAAACGTTTTACTTTAAATTATTCAAATGATATAATAAATGATTTTCAAGAAGATTTAAATCATTTAAATTATTTTTTTCATCATCATAAAAAATATTATAAAGATATTTTTTATTATTTACATAAATTAACTATAACATGTTCATTATGTATACAATATCATCGTTCATGTACAAATTTAGAATTAATGAATCGATTTGTTTATATACGTATTGATTTATTAACAAATTTAAAAAAATTAAATGAAAAAATTAAATTTTTATTAATTCATATAAATTCAAATTTTGAACATAGAAAACAATACTCAATAAATAATAATAATAATTTTAATGATCATTATTCGAAAGAAAAATTTAAAATCTTTAATCTTGTTCGAACACTTTTTCTTTGGTTTATAACAATAGTCTTAATAGGATATTATTTTCAATGGTCAATTATATATGAAAATAAATCTAAAAATGGTTGGCCTATGTGAATTTTACCTTGAACAATATTGTCCTTGTGATGACGTGGCATAAAAGCCACGTAAAAACATATTGTCACAGCTGGTCATAGATCTTCATATTTGACTTGCAAATGTGGTCAAAAAAATCGACATATAAAAATCACGTTAAAAATCATAGAATATCACACACAATTTTCATCATGATGATCAAGTATATTATTCTCTTTATTGTTACAGTTTCTTTCTGTTCATCAAAAGAAACTGTTAGTGATTTACCTGATTCAAGTGTTCCAACACGCTATACAATAACTCATGAAGCTGTATTTGATATTGTTATTAAAGAAAATGTTCATACCAATGAAATTTTATCACAAGGACGTGTTGTTATTGGACTTTTTGGTAATATTGTTCCAATGACTGTTTTAAATTTTGTTACAATTACAAATGGAATTGTTCGAAGCAATGTAAGATAAAGATACATATTAATAAAAATTTATTTTTTCTGTATGAATTTTTTATATTTCTAGATGAATTTTACATATAATGATGTACCATTTCATCGTATTGTAAAAGATTTTTGTATTCAAACAGGTGATTTTATTAATCGTGATGGTACAGGAAGTAAGTATGAAGATTTTAAAATAAAGAAGAAATTGAAAGAAAAATTTATATTTTTAGGTTTAAGTATTTATGGACCAAAATTTGTTGATGAAAATTTTCGTCTTAGTCATAAATCAGCTGGATGGGTTTCAATGGCAAAGTAAGTATTACAGAACAAAAAAATCCTTCACAATGTTTTATTTTTATTAATATTTTAATTATGTTTTCTGTTTTCTCAAGTTATGGAAAAGATACAAATGGTTCTCAATGGTTTATTACTTTAGTTCCTGCTCGTTGGCTTGATGGACATCATGTTGTATTTGGTCGTGTTCTTCAAGGTATTAATTTTGTTCATGAAATTGGAGAAGTCGAAACATTTCCTGAGACATCATTACCGAAGAAATATGTTGGTATTGCCAATGGTTCAGCTAAAGAAGTAACACGATATGATCTTGCTTTGGAAGATCTTGTCTCTGCTGAAGACATTATTGTTGCTTAGTTTTAATAATATGAGTTTTTTTTTTCACTTATCTAATAAATAATTATGATAATCCGATTATAGAATAAAGATTGACAAGACTTCTTAAAAGATTTAATTGACGTGATTTTTAAATAGTCTGATTTTAATCATCTTTGTAACTCAATAATATGGACAACGGTTTGACTTTTCCTTCTTTTCTTTTTAAAGTGGTTGACTGTATTGAGAAAATATTCAATAATCATTTGATTGTTTAATATTTTTTTTCAAATCTCATGCTCTCCTATCATGAGCAGATGATAATGTCTCTATCTAACATCAAATGAAATACTGTATGTTACTGATCTTAAACTGATCATGTTTATGTTTAACGTTTGTGACATATTAAATCATGCATGAATTAGATAATACAGATAAAATAATGTCAAATATTAATAATTTCTTTTTAAGACTGAATTTCAATTTGATTAATACTAATTCGATGTTGATAACATGCACCTTAAATGTATGCATGATATTACATAGATTAACAGACACTGTAATCGTTCGAATATACAAATGAATATATAGAATGAAGTCTAAATAATTCATGATGGGAATCAGAATAACTTTGTATAATAATCAACTAATCAATAGTTTTGTTTTCATTATTTTTTGATTCATGATTTCTAAGTGTGCTAATTTTTTTGTTGAGTCTTTTTTTGCTTAATAACCAAATACATGTTTTATCACGAACTTGATATAATGTTAAATAGAGGCACCTTATAAATAGGATTGATATACGGATAGACTTTGAAGTTAACGAGACAGATAGAATATTATATTAATAAAACTAATCAATGCAATTGTTGTCATATCAAACAGTCATTCAATGAGACCTGCTGCTAGGACCGATGAATACCTATGATCAACTTGCTCATGCTATGTAAGTATTAGAGGATAGTGCAACGTAATTAGAATTTTTATGATTACTATTTGTCGTCATTTTTATTTCCGATTAATTCGCAATTGATTATAATGAGTACATTAGTAGAGGTGAGTTTGTTTTTCACAGTTTAGATCAAGTGTCAAGAATTGATTCAATATATGCATATGAA